CCTTACCCACTATTAGTAATTTTACAAAATATTACATACCACTACTGAATCTTTTTCATTCGTAATAGTTGCCGCATTTAGTTATATACCGCCTCGGCTCACATATGGTCTTTTCAGAAACTGTGTTGATAAATGTCACCAAATACTTGTCTTCCTGAAGATGTCATGTTCCTCCAGGTTATAGTTTGCTGATTATCATTATTATTATCATGTGTTCTTACAAACACAAAGTAATTCCTGCACGTTGTCCCATGAAGCAACAATATGTGTAATCTGTATTTATGTTAAGCTAGTGCAAAAACAAATAAGGTCAGAATAAGATGGTGTTTGCAATCAAAAAAAGTGAAGTCTATTTGACATAGGCTTCAAACGTCAATACGTGTCTGCAAATGGGAACTCAAATTCAAAAGATAAATGATTCTCAGCAGCTACAATGTGGTAGTTAAAGTTCAATTAATTAGCTGAAAACCCAACTAGAATGAACTTGACACTAAATCTCTGTACATTGACAAAATATTGATACATGTTATAATAGATATTCCCATGATGAATTCTTTGCTTCTGAACGAGAAATAATAAGAATAAGTGCAGTTTTCATATTAAAAAATCCTTTAATCATATATATCGTAAGAAATCAAGCACGATATTTGTATTGGTATGTCATAATGTTAATGCATCTTAGTTTCGACACCACCATACAGGCTTGCCTTTGTCTCGTCCCATTCTAATGCACAACATAAAACTCTTGGCATTGCTTGTTTATACATGTTTTCCCGAACGAAGACTTTGTATGTTTGTCACATTTAATTTTCAAAAATATTCCTGATTATATTGCGGCTATCAATACATATTGCCACAACTATGCACAACTTATAGTTTACATTTATCAAAACCATTACAAGGATAACTATGCACATTTGCCAGGACTATGCACATGTAACTTATAGCTTACAGTTATCAAAATCATTACAAGGAAAACTATGCACATTTGCCAGGACTATGCACATGTAACTTATAGTTTACAGTTATTAAAAGTACTGCAAGGAAAACTATGCACATTTGCCAGGACTATGCACATGTAACTTATAGCTGACAGTTATCAAAATGATTACAAGGAAAACTATGCACATTTAACTCATATCTGTGTGATGACATCATGGACGTGGACAGTGTTAAATACTGACAAGTTATTTTCTGTTTGCATGTTTTTAATGTCAGTACAGTTCTCACAAGTATCATACTGATATTGTCAGCCTACCGACACACCTCACACATAGCAATGGTATAGTACATCCTTTACCGGTTCTCAAGTAATTGAACTGGTTACCTTTGAAATCCGTGTTCGTGTGTGTTTCATTTCATTATACCTTGGTACATACCTTCATTATTTCTTGGTATATTTAGTGCATAAAGCCCAAGAACGTGGCGATCCTCTGAAGGTTAGAGAACAGGTGACAGACATATATTTACAAGTCATATTGCATTTTGACATGGTATAATGTGTGTACAACGCAATTATGATATACTGTGGCTGTGTTAAAATTATGACATTTAATAATAATGTAAAGGAGTGTCTCTGTAAACAATTTAAAGCTGTGCCCCAAAGGTGGAGAATGACAAAGCGACAAAACCCTTTCCACATTCAGAAGAAATCTGTTCCAAAAGCAGAGTCAATTGTATAATTGTGACTATATCATGAGCAGATATTGTTGTTTGTAAACAAATCGGGTTTGAACCAGACAATCCAGTGATTGTCACCATGCGATACGATGACAGAGCATGTGTTTATGAATCACTATGAAGTAGTGCTGATACCAGGTATTCGCGAAAAGGTGGCACATACATAAACATATGCTAAGTCTAGTAATTTGTTCACGTCATGTTTTGTAATGTTTTGTGTATCATGACGTTTGTGTTCTTCATCTTCCATACGTACTTGTCACTGTACGGTGCAATTATCACACACTTTAGATGCCAGCTGTCAGTTATTATTTTACTGTATCACTTAATATGAACATGCTCTGCCTTCTGCCTCAATTGTTTACAAACCACATCGTACAGCTGAAATACTGAAACAAATACACTCGCGTGACATAGTCAGAATTGTACAATCGAATTTAGCAGAGATTTCTTATGGATGTAGACATGTTTTTGTTGCATCTATTCTTACGTCAAAGATACTACGTTGTAAAATAAAGTACACACACAATGTCAACCAAAGAAGTTGTACACACACAGGTGATGAAAAGTGTAACAAACAGGAAATGATTATTCGATGGCGCCGTCTTTGACCTTTGAATAATACTTGTGTTTCGGACCTTAATTCGGCAATCCTTTGTCAGTGACCCTTCCTTAACGTATGTAGGGTTTGGCCACACTTAATATTCAAGCATATATTTTTCAGTCAGTGTATATCATTTTCCGTGTGTTTTTAGTCATCATTGACAGTCTATTTTCACCTGGAACCTCCATTCGGTGGTGTGATTTTGTGAATTATCACCTACAATCCTCTTTTACTTATATTCCAAACAAACGTATGCTCTCAAAGAAACTTCCTGATAAATGTGCATCCCGGTCTAATGTGTTCCAAAAGGTACAAGACTTTAGTATTCCCTGGCCTGACAGTAATGTCACATGTAAACACTAGCACCACCCCGTACATTTGTATCTGAAGGTAAACATTGTGTAACACATTCATCTGACATTTTGAAATTTGAAAGGCGTCCTGCATATTTGCACCCCGGCAACCAGGGAGGTTTCTCGGAGACCTCACCAACGCTGTAAATAGGTGGATTTAGTGAGGGAACTCACTACAGGAAAATATCATCTGCGCACCGTTATAGCCTTTGTTTTGCATGGAACGAACCGGTTACGGTGTAGCTTGATATTAAGCCTATTTTCCTTTAGTTATACCCAACAATACAACACAGTCCACACATTCTGGAAGCGGTGTGTCAGCTGTATCGCGGCAACAGAGTGGAGTTGGGGCAAGAATGCCATAAACCGCTCTGGCTTTGTCCTGACAACGAGAGTTACCCCGCATGAGGCCCAACTCTTCAATGGTGGAGGGGGGAAAGTAACGGTGTATCAGTATGGCTTGACAACAGCAGGGTGACGCTCATCTGGGTCTCAATGAATGGGAAATAGAATTGTGTGGTTTGATTAGTGTTCAGCTGAATAGCAATCGTCTTGGTCGGGACGGGAAATGAATGCTCACGCACCGCGTACACACGTGTGCACCGAAAACAATATATACTAAACAAAATAGTTAGGGATCATGAATATATTTGGATTGTATCCTCAATCTTCACTACAAAAATTGTTCCCCAAAACCCCCGATCCTCTACCTTGTTCTGTATAAGTAGGCGTGGGAGGTCAACACTGTTTGTAAATCTGCACATATATTGGGTGTCATTTGTTCTACACATTTGATTAACTGGTGAACTATTCCAGGATTACAAGCAACTGTTTTCTGTTTTATACTGATAGTTTCGGCTTTTCCTGGGTATTTAGAGACTCTGCACAGGGTATGATTTGATACCTAGAGCAACACGTTGACAAATGTTTGAAACTCCGAGGTCCTTCGTTGACAGGGTTTTATAATTTGACTTTAGTTATTACAACTTTATTTATTCTCCAAATCCTCGTCACGATATGGCTGCAATATTGCCGATTAAAATTTTAACTCACTCACTCACTCATTGAAACCCTGAGGCTTTTAATTGATAAACTTAATATTGGTGTTCCTTTGAAAACCTGCTTTCCACCAAGATCAAATTGTCCTCCGGTGTACGTAAGACTATATCATTTAAAGTAAGTATATCATTACCAGGTTTTTAATCGTAGATTTTTGTTTTTGTTTTAAGGTATTTTAGCAATAGCCATTTGTCATATGTAGAAGTTATATATGTGCCACTGTTGAATACACGTTGAATACCTGAAATAGCATGTGATGAGAAATTGTGATACACATTAATTATTCTGCAAACATTAATTGTCAGAAACACCTGCTGATGAAGTTTCCCGAACGTGTGTACCCTGTGATACACACTACGTGTTTGTACCACCTCGTATGCCCCATCTATTCTGTCAGAGACATGGGTGTTGATTATCACACCCTATAACCTCTGTGACATAATTACGACTGCCTTGGTTCGTTGTTTCAAAACGTTTTTTCCCAAATTCATTACATTGGTGTTTTGCCATAGTAACCGTAACTTGAAGCATCTTTATACCGTCGTTATTTTGTTTATAATGTTGTGGAATAACATTTTTTAAGTTCAACAAAACCTACATCCTTCCACATAAAAATGTTGCATAATTTGTGCAACAACAACAAAACAAAACAAAAAAACTCAATGAGGTTTTTACAAATCAAATCTTTCTGTCTGTCAGCAATCAGACATATTCTAATATATCTGAATGTGTGCGCGTGTGTATGTGGGGGTTTATCTGAAATAACAGAGAGATGAGTCCGTTCACTACATGATTCGCATTCACATATTCTCATGCTGAGCTACACCGGTACCAGAAGTTCATTGGAACTCGGTCCACATACTTGAAGATCCGGGTTAGAGTTGATCTTCAGTAATCCATGCTTGTCGTAAGAGGCGACTAACGGGATTGAGTGGTTAAGCTTGCTGACTTGTTTGACACATGCCGTCGTATCCAAATGCGTAGATCGATGCTCATGCTGTTGATCACTGGATTGTCTGGTCCAGACTCGATTATTTACAGACCGTATAGCTGGAAAATTGCTGAGTGCGGCGTAAAACTAAACCCACTCACTCACCTTCTTCTGTATAACTGAGGATAATCACTGACTCAAACACCGATTAATATTGTTAGCACATTAACAAGTGTTGTCAAAATGTCCAGCATCTATAACACCCACCTTTAACACCGTAGTATATGAGGCAGCATTTCTATATTTGTCCAACCGGCTTAATCTTTAACAGTAATACAGATCAACTATCACGGCAAATATTTTGTTACACGCAATGATCTATCTGCTGTACCTCTACTCCAGCACGACATTCATCAGATACAACTTCTGTCACCCGGATACCTGCCGTTATACGGCCGTTCCGTCGCCAGGTAACCGCTGAGCGACCAGTTGGAGGCTGTCGTAAAATACCACCAAAGGGTATATCGTTAAAAAGAGATCTTTGGAAAATTCTGACAATGAGCGTTTATAAAATTTTCTTTCACGAATTAACCGTTCATTAGGCGTTAAAGTAGTTGTCGGTGTTGTAAAGATATTTCGAAAGATCAAGGTCATGCGCTGTAAGTGAGATGCATTTATTGGACTACCATTAACACGCCCTCTGTGTTGTGTTAACGAGAGATTTGTGCCCGCAGGCTTCTCAGTGATGCATTTCACGGCTGGTGTGTGCTTAGTGACGTCACTTATACTGAACTGCAAGTCATCTATCTCACGCATCTAACTCATGATTTAACTTAGTATTGTATTGTCAAGATGATGGCAATATATTTTAGTCGTCATCAGGTCCTTCTATCAAACATTTGTTATTTTCCAAGAGGTATTGTTTAATCGTGTGCAGTTACATCACCGCAGCTGTCTTATAAATATTATTTGACTTACCTCTGACTTTTGGCCTGAAAACATTGAACCTGTTCGTAATAGCAGCAACTAAGGACAGTTTAAAAAAATGTTAAGGTAATTATATTCATTAATGCCGGAGGTCGCACTTAAGTTATGAATAAAAAGAATTTTAGTGTGGCTTTATACATCAATGAATATGTAAGTTTCCTAGTGTGGCTTTCGTCACTTCAATGAATATGCCGATATGACGTTAAATATTAACTCACTCACTCGCTAACTCCTGGTCAAATGTGGGCGCATAAAAAATTGTCAACATTTATTATCTTAAATGACCATACACTAAATGTCCACAAAATGATTATACATCTTAAATTTTGGGCGATACAGTTCTGCTGAATTTTAAAAAAAATGTAACTGGCCACAAGTATGTTTAAAAGATGTTGTAGAGTTTTTGTATGAGAGAAGAGCTTCACATCTCAAAGGATCATGAAATTTACTGCCAAGGGCCATGATATCACCATTTCTTAAACATATACATATTCCATATTGATTATGTAAGTAATGGCACACTGGTGGGAATATACGGGTGTTAGAATGTCACCACATTGTTTCCTCAGTATCTTCACGCGGGTGTAATTTGTTTTCATTTATTTTAATGATACACGGAATGAAGTTCTGGTATCAAAACTATTAATTTTATATACATATTGCATTTCTTTCCAACTCAGTATTTGATCATGGGTGAAAATCGAGTCATGATTCATAGAATATAACATGTATGAATATAAATCAGTTTCATCGAATGGAACATGTTGAGTATTTTTCTCTCTATCTCACTACTTTGCAAAAGGGGTAGTTCGAATTCGACATTATTGGATGAAATGTTCAGCAACCCTAACATGCACTGCATAAGAATAATAAATGTTTCCGTATGAATAAGCCTATATTGTTTGAAAAGCCTGTACTAATTACAAGGTTTAACAAAAATTAGGTATCGCAATATCAATGGTAAATTTAGTTGCACTTGATCTCAATGCAAATTTAGTTGCATTTGATCTTAATCTCAAATGTAGTTGCACTTGATCTTGGTCTCATATGTAGTTGCACTTGATCTTGGTCTCAAATGTAGTTGCACTTGATCTTGGTCTCAAATGTAGTTGCACTTGATCTTGGTCTCAAATGTAGTTGCACCTGATCTCAATGCAAATTTAGTTGCATTTGATCTTAATCTCAAATATAGTTGCACTTGATCTTGATCCCAAATGTAGTTGCACTTGATCTTGGTCTCAAATGTAGTTGCACTTGATCTCAATCTTAAATTAAGTTGCACTTGATCTCAGACACTTAGCTTATGCTCAAAAGTGAACTAGTGACCCTGCCAAATCCCAGTATAAATTTTAGGAATGCTGTGCCGTACAACATGGAATATTTTTGTCTGAAACTCTCCGCGTTTGGGGTGAATCCTGATTGACCAACCTCGACTTATCCACACTCGTGAAGCTTTAACCTGGATATTTGCGCACGAGAATACCAGTGTCCGTATTATTGATTATCCAAATTCCAAACACATGGTTAGTAGTAATAGAGTGAGTGAGTGAGTTCGGTTTTACGCCGCTTTTAGCAACATTTAGCTATAACACGGCGAGGAACACCAGAAATGGGCTTCACACATTGTACCCATGTCGGGAATCGAACCCGGATCTTCGACATAACGACCCAACGCTTTAACCACTAGGCTACCACACCGCCCTATCAGTAATAGAAACAGAGAGACACAGGGCCTTAATTTTACTGAAATAGAATGTGTTTCTTGTTGAATATGTGCATCAATCTTTGGAATTATAAACAATATATATAGTATAGTATTGTATATAAGACCATATTATTGGAAGAAGCTTTCAGTGTTTAAACATTATCAGTTTTATTGTTTAAGAATGTCAAAAATTGTGTTACACGGGAATTTTTATTTCTAAAATCAACCACATTCAGAGGTGATTTAACAACTAAACACAGTACAATATTACGGTTTGCTTCCCTTATAAAATTAATATTGTACATACCTTTGGTTGACGTTATGTTCAGTTCCAGCAACACGTGTGTATCAAGTTGTAATATTAATTATTTTATATGCCATATAAAATACATACCTTTGAGTGGGTATTGTGAACGTTGTGTTCATTTTGTCCACTTTAAACTAGGTTCACGTGTTTCTAAGTGTATGGTGGAGTTTACTGGGCAGTGTGTCATTGATCAAAACCAACAGGGTTTATAATTATGTCCTATACTAATGTATGTGGATGCTTTTTCATTACCAGCATGCGCAATAATTTTAAACCCTATTTAAGTGCCTTGATGAATATATGCGATCAATAACAAGCATCAGTCATCTTATATGTGTGTTTCAGACTGGTTTGAGCACTGCTTGGACCCGTCTCGTCGTTGCGGTCACGGCAATGCAGGCGTGGAGGAGGCTGTTACGGAGCCGGACAGAAGCGAGTCTCTGTCGGATGAGGACCAGGAAAAGAGTCAGTACTTTAAACTTCCCTTTTGAAATTAAACAAAAGCATTTTAAAAGATAATCCATTGTTTGTCTTCGTGTTCCCATTTTTAAAGAAAAAATATTCTTTTTGGTGTGACATTATCAGTCTTAAGTTTAAAGATTTCATTCTTAGGATTTTGATCTTTTACTTTGTTATGGACTAAAGTGACAAAACCCTTCTTATGCAAACCTCTGTATTTTGTCTTTCATTATGTGAATGATATATTTAAAAATATACTAAAGGACTAAAGAAAGCATACGCTTGAAAATTGGATTTCACCAGTTCAAACGTAGAAATGCAAACTAGATTCCAAAAATAGAACTCCCATATCCCTGCCAAATAAACCCCCTTCAGTTCTTTATTTATTTCATTTTAGCTTCCATCAAATATACTTAAAACGTTTTTCAAAAGTAATTGCGTTCGTATGCATTTGTTGTTCATTGTATATGTTAATGATAATCTTCATTCCATAATTAGTGTAGGTCATAGGTCATGCCAAATCAAAGTGTAGACAAAGTTTGACAATTTATTCATATACACGAAGATCCCAGGTGCAGAGCATTGTAGACAGACTAGGTACATTCACTAAAGACACTAACGTGTTTTACTTGGGTTGGAGTGGATTTACATAGACATCTTCGGGTATGTACTTATACTACTATATTTATATATACATACATTGCACACTAAAGTCAAGTGATATTCATCCTCAATATATTTCCATTTACAGGTTAAACACAGTATATCGCCTTTAGGCTCTTAATTATACCTGACCATCTCAATCCTGAGCTCGTAAAAGATTTCAATTGACAAGTGCAATCCTAATTTGGAAATGACAGCTCTTTGATATAAGTATTTAGGTCAGTTGAGGATTTGCATTGAATATGTGCTAGCGATTGGGTGCTTGCTAACAGGACTGCATGTCAATGTTTAATGTGACACTATAACTACCAACAACACATCCTCATAACAACATGTATCTACCAAGTCAGCGAGTCTGACCATCCGATCTCACCTCTTTCGACAAGCATGGGTTGCTGAAGACCAATTCAAACCCAGATCTTCGCGGTTTGATAAAACATTAGACAAGCATAGAACTGACGCTCCACAACTGATTCAGAATAGGCAATACCCGTTGTTTAAGTCTCACAAATGAGAATTAGTTAGCTATTGTGTGACGGTGCTGTTTGTATTGCATTTTATTACCTGCGAGGGCTAACATATCGGGGTTCATATTTTTCATACGATGCCCTAGGGCAAAATATCACTTTGTCATGGTGACGTGACGTCATGAACAATGTTATGACGTCACGTTTCTTCTGTGACGTTGCGTTCAAAATGCGGCAACGGTGGGTAGCCAGCCTATGTTTGAAAGTAAATTTGGGTTCAATTTCCTCAATTTGACGACTTCGGTAATGAACAGAATATCATATTCGTGCCAATATCATACTATATTTACGACACTCGTGTTTAAATATCGGTATATCCCTCGCTCTCGCTCGGGAAATACCAACATATAGGCACTCGTGTCGTAAACATAGTATGACATGGGCACTGATATAATATCCTCTAACTAATGCCACTGGCCACTGTTTTCGTTGACGAAAATGACGGCCCGTTTGTCAACTGAAGCCATGACCACTTAAGCCATCTTTAATAGTGTACTGGGCTCATCATGCATATGCGCGAGGTTCTAAAGACTTAAGTTACAATACGAGAAAAAATAAACTGCCTCTGATTACAGACAACACTGAAAATGTATCTAGTGTTACAAATGTGTGAAAGACACCGTTAACTGATTGATACCAGGTTTAAGTGATTGATACCAGGTTTAAGTGATTAATACCAGGTTTAAGTGATTGATACCAGGTTTAAGTGATTGATACCAGGTTTAAGTGATTGATACCAGGTTTAAGTGATTGATACCAGGTTTAAGTGATTGATACCAGGTTTAAGTGATTGATACCAGGTTTAAGTGATTGATACCAGGTTTAAGTGATTGATACCAGGTTTAAGTGATTGATACCAGGTTTAAGTGATTGATACCAGGTTTAAGTGATTGATACCAGGTTTAAGTGATTGATACCAGGTTTAAGTGATTGATACCAGGTTTAAGTGATTGATACCAGGTTTAAGTGATTGATACCAGGTTTAAGTGATTGATACCAGGTTTAAGTGATTGATACCAGGTTTAAGTGATTGATACCAGGTTTAAGTGATTGATACCAGGTTTAAGTGATTGATACCAGGTTTGATACAGATACCAGCTTTAAGTGATTGATACCAGGTTTAAGTGATTGATACCAGGTTTAAGTGATTGATACCAGGTTAAGTGATTGATACCAGGTTTAACTGATTGATACCAGGTTTAACTGGTTTGATACCAGGTTTAAGTGATTGATACCAGGTTTAACAGATTGATACCAGGTTTAACTGATTGATACCAGGTTTAAGTGATTGATACCAGGTTACAGTGATTGATAACAAGTTTAAGATTGATACCAGGTTGATACCAGGTTTAAGATACCAGGATTGATACCAGGTTTAAGTGATTGATACCAGGTTTAAGTGATTGATACCAGGTTTAAGTGTTTGATACCAGGTTTAACTGATTGATACCAGGTTTAACTGATTGATACCAGGTTTAACTGATTGATACCAGGTTTAAGTGATTGATACCAGGTTTAACTGATTGATACCAGGTTTAAGTGATTGATACCAGGTTTAAGTGATTGATACCAGGTTTAAGTGATTGATACCAGGTTTAAGTGTTTGATGCCAGGTTTAACTGATTGATACCAGGTTTAAGTGATTGATACCAGGTTTAAGTGATTGATACCAGGTTTAACTGATTGATACCAGGTTTAACTGATTGATACCAGGTTTAAGTGGCGGCTTTAGGATCTTTAACACTTAAAAAATAAACGGGACGGCTCAGAAAACGTCATCTTTTAAAGATTATGCACAGTCTTACATTTTACGAGATTTTGTTTCTCTGCAGGGTTGGATTATATGTAATCAAGCAAATAAATGGGTCGATATGAACCACTTGTTTTTGACCTGGAGTTGTTTTAAGGCTGCATGTGAGAAACATTTTGTTAATGTACAACATATTTTGTTCAATACAGCTGCTATTCCAAAGGCACGCATAGGATCCAAGCCACACTCGACACCCCAAACGTTGAAATGGTAAGTGAGAATGTTAGTTCTTGAATATTTGTGTGAGTAACTGAGCTAACATAGTCCCAGCGTGACTGTACAAGTTGTTTATTAATACAAGCCAACTCAGATGCAATAAATACCTGTCAACGAAAAACAGGTAAAATCACTAGATTATCACAAATTTACTCTTACAATTAGTACGTAACCTTCACACTACTATACACAGACGGGCTATAGATCAGGTTCTTGAGGGGCATTTAGAAGTTGGTGTTCAAGTAAAACGCAGATGTTATGGATGACAACTTCTTCATTTGTATATGGGGCGGTGGGTTCTGATGGTTAAAGCGTTAAAACACGCAGAGACCCGGGTTCATATCCCCACATGGGCACAATGTGAATCCCCCGCCGTGAACTTTGCTGGAATATTGCTAAAAGCGGCGTAAAACAACAGTTTCTTTATTGGGCTATTTCTGGGCCCTTCGCCCTTCGGTGAATTGTAACAAGCAAGATACAAGCATCTTGCAGAAACGTTGTTACTTACAATAAAGAAGAAGTTGTCATCCATAATATCTGCGGGCTATAGATCGACATCAACTAAAGGTAGATCACCATACTAGCGACCATGGGGACTTAGTACTTTGTTACCTGTAAGGACCTTAGCTGGATTTGCATCACACCCTCAGTTATATTGATAACATAATAAATATATATATATATATATACACCATGTTTAAAAGCATGGTGTGCCTAAAATACGTCGAATTGTGTAGAATATGTAACAAAATACTCAGGTATAGGAACAGTTTGCAGTCTACGGTAATTACTCTTAAAGAACAATCTTGGAATAATAAACGTGAGTGACTACGAAAAAAATATATTAAAGAACTCTATTTTGTCCATCCATCAATTGATAAATTTTCGTCTCTATCGAATTCTTCAAATGAATTTGATTTCTAGTGTCCCCTGTCGTGATATTGCTGGAATATTGCTAAAAGCGGCGTAAAACCCGACTACATCACTCACTCAAATGAATTTGTAATTTGTTGCGGTTTTCATTTATCAAGCCATGTTGCTAAGAAAATGGTATATATGAAATGTACTATAGGCTTGTGGCCTCCTCAGTATTGAAATAAAGATTGATTGAGTGAGTGAGTGAGTTAAAATTGAAAATTACATCGGCTGTATTTCAGCCGTATCTAGACTAGAAACGCGTTAGATACAAAATGAAAATAAGTCTGTTCTGTGCTGTAGCATTTTCTGCTTGACAACGGTATACAAATCTATACCGAAACGCGGCAGCATTCTAGAGTAAAGAAACTGTCATTCATAAAAATCATACCTTTCTTGTGTAGACTTCGTTTGCTTACGACTGTCGCCATTTGTTCCTCCAGGTTGGAGGAGAACTATGAGATAGCAGAAGGGGTGTGCATCCCCCGCTCAACCCTGTATCTCCACTACCTGGACTTCTGTGAGAAGAACGACACCCAGCCAGTCAACGCCGCCAGCTTTGGGAAGGTATGTCAACTACTCCCTAATCTGTGTACACCCATGTAAAACATGCACCGGTCGCTCTGTAGGGGCTCGTTCATGTGGTAGAGGGGCGATGGGGCATAGCCTGGTGGTTAAAGTGTTTGCTCGTCACGCCGAAGACCCGGGTTCGATTCCCCAAATGGATACAATGCATGGAACCCTTTTCTGGTGTCCCCTGCCGTGATATTGCTGGAATATTGTAAAGGCGGCGTAAAGCTACACTCACTGATGTGATAAAATGTACGGCCCAACATAGTATGGAGTTAGGAACCTGGGCCTAGATTTTCGAAGCTCTCTTAGCGCTAAGATAGTCGTAAGTGCCATACATTAACATTAACTTACGACTATCTTAGCGCTAAGAGAGCTTCGAAATCTAGGCCCTGGGCCCCGTTTTACGAAGCTGTCGTACCTCCTATACCCATTTTTCAAAGCGATCGTTGCGCTAAGGTGATCGTAACTCCCATACTTTAACATAGACTTACGACAGTCGTAGCGCTACGATAGCTTAGTGAAACGGGGCCCTGGTGGTTATCGGTTTAAATTTGTTCCAAGATTGCCTTGTCAGCAAAGCACCAGGTCGAACATCACAAGCATCCTGGCTGTAGATGCAACAGAATACTTTACACAAACCCTAAATACTGAGACCACTGCACACGTCATTGACAATTATTGATTCTTAATATACTTCCTGACAATGATCATCGTAGCTTATTCCAAATCAAAATACAAATGGCAAACTTACAATAAGCGCACGTTTGAAGCATTGACAGTTATCACCTCGGCGATTAGAAAACAACGTCACGTTCAGTTATCACCTCGGCGATTAGAAAACAACCTCACATTCAGTTATCACCTCGGCGATTAGAAAACAACGTCACATTTGTGTATATCTTCTTCTACCTGCCTAGTTAAATACATAAACAGTTTCTCTGCTTAACGTGTTACATGTCCTCAGGCCATTAACTGATAGATATACAATAACCCTTCAATACAGATTGTACCGGACTGTATTCCAGTTTGAAGGCGTCCAGTATTATTGAGTCATTGAGTGAGTTTAGTTTTACTCTGCACTCAGCAATATTCCAGCTATATGGCGGCGGTTTGTAAATAATCGAGTCTGAACCAGACAATCCAGTGATCAGCAGCATGAGCATCGACCTGGGCAATTGGGAACCGATGACATGTGTCAACCAAGCCAGCGAGCCTGACCACCCGATCCCGTTAGTCGCCTCTTACGACAAACATGGGTTACTGAAGGTTCATTCTAACCGGGACCTTCACGGGTCCAGTATGATTGAGATGACTGAGGCAATAAATGATTAGAATATTGCTGTGTTTCAGATAATCCGCCAGCAGTTTCCTCAGATCACAACACGGCGACTCGGAACCAGAGGCCAATCCAAGTAAGTGCTCATTTTGGAAATTTCACACTATTTTAGGAGTATAGACAATTGGGTACGAGACCTCTACTAATAATTTTAGCCTTCCATCCATATTTTCTCTTTTAACGCCGCTTTTAGCAATTTTCCAGCAATATTACGGCAGGGAACACCAGAAATGGGCTTCACACATTGTACCCATGTGGGGAATCAAACCCTGATCTTCAGCGTTACACGCCAATGCTTTAACCACTAGCTAGGTTACCCCACCGCCCCTGGCAATCTAGATGGGGATCTAGACCTAGATGAATTTCATCTAATCAACAACCTGTCCAGTTTGTGATCAAATGGAATTAACCAAACTGGCCTAATTATCATAGCTGGTCACCCTATATTATACAATCATCTTAGTAGAGATAATACAGTATACTACTGTCGCTGCTGCTGCTACTACTACTACTACTACTACTACTACTACTACTACTACTACTACTACTACTACTACTACTACTACTACTACTACTACTGAAATAGGTTATATTTGGGATTGCACTTTATCAGTGAGTGAATGAGTTACAATTTTAAGTCACATCGGCAGTTTTCAGCCATATCGTGACTATATCAAGTTGCACTTTATCAGTACAGTAAAGATTTTAGTATCTTTTAATATCAGGCAGGTAATCGCCAGAACACCAAGTCAGCTATCTAAACTGAGTGTGTGGGATTAAATCCCGGATGGGACTCAGCCCAACAAAAGTACTAGAAACTATACTTTATTGAAAAAATGTCATTCCAAATATAACATCATTTATGTTACACTTGCCCTTCTAAAATGCATTGTGTACTACCACTACCACAACGGCACCTACTACTACTACTACAACTACTACTACTACTACAATTATTATTACTACTATTACTACTACTTCCACACCTACTACTACTACTACTACTATTACTACTACTACTACTGCTACTGCTACTGCTACTACTACTACTGCTACTACTACTACTACTACCACTACTACTACCACACCTACTACTACCACTACCACTACCACACCTACTACTACTACTACTACTACCACACCTACTACTACCACTACCACTACCACTACCACACCTACTACTACTACTACTACTACAGTATCATTGTGTTTTTCTGTGTAGGTATCATTACTATGGAATTGGTGTACGTGAAAACTCCCAGTACTTCGAGGTCATGTACTCTGCCAAAGCGGCACAAGGGTGAGTAACGTTAGCTATAGCTCACCTGGCTAGCCAAGGTGTCATTTTCAACACATCTTATCCACCAAGGTGGACATACGCCCTGATCCCGGACCCAGCAGGGTTGTCCTCATCAGCACACAATTTAACATTCAATATGCATTGAGACGCTGAAAAGGATGGCTTATATAAATAAATTGCCACAGTGTTTGCTGCTATGACGTATTAGCTAATGAAATGTCTATATGTCAGTTTTGTGTGAACGCTGATACAATATATGTGTTTTTGTTTTTATCTCAAAAAGCTGCCATAAGTGTGCACTATTAAGGTGCCATCTACAGTGTGTCATTTTCAACACATCTTATCCACCAAGGTGGACATACGCCCTGATCCCGGACCCAGCAGGGTTGTCCTCATCAGCACACAATTTAACATTCGATATGCATTGAGACGCTGAAAAGGATGGCTTATATAAATAAATTGCCACAGTGTTTGCTGCTATGACGTATTAGCTAAGGAAATATCAATATGTCAGTTTTGTGTGAACGCTGATACAATATATGTGTTTTTGTTTTTATCTCGAAAAGCTGCCATAAGTGTGCACGATTAAGGTGCTATCTACAGTGTCAAAATAGTAATGACCTTTCTCCTACCTGTTTCTAGAGCCGGGGACAACAAGAAGGACGGTTCAAAACAGGTAAAACATTGCACGGCTTATATCATGTCTATATATTGATGAGTGAGTGAGTTAATATTTATCGTCACATCGGCAATATTTCATCCATATCGTGATGAGAACACTTTATAATTATGTTAAAGATCAATAAAGTTAGAAATTAAAAACCTGTTGACGAAGAACAGTAAAACTACTAGTGTATCACAGATATCGATTTAAAACTAGTAATTAAATCTAAAATATTGAAACTATAAATGACAATTCAATGTAAAAACAGGCTATAGATTGCCAACGACTGAAGGTAGATCACTATACTAGGGACCACGGGGACTTACAGTACATTTGCTTCCTGCATGGACCCTAGCTGGATTTACACCGTCCCTTCAACCGTCAGCAATTTAACAAATCTAGCCATATATTAAAAAGACGCGTATTGTACGATTGAAAAAGTGGACAGTTTTCCTATCTATTGATGATGCATAGTGCAATGCTACACCATGTGAATCGACTGACGTAGCAGTATTCGTTTGTAGTATTTATACCATGTATACTGATCGAGTGACGTTCCTTAATACGTTACGTTGTTACACAAACACTATGTATACGTATATCTACTGACATGGCGTTATCCATTTTTAATATTTTACCATGTGTATCTGATGCATTGTCTTACATATATCGTGTCTATCTACTGATGCATCGTAATGCATTGTCTTATATATATCGTGTCTATCTACTGATGCGTCGTAATGCATTGTCTTACATATATCGTGTCTATCTACTGATGCATCGTAATGCATTGTCTTACATATATCGTGTCTATCTACTGATGCATCGTCGTAATGCATTATCGTGTTATCTATATATCGTGTCTATCTACTGATGCATCGTAATGCATTGTCTTACATATATCGTGTCTATCTACTGATGCGTCGTAATGCATTGACTTACATATATCGTGTCTATCTACTGATGCATCGTAATGCATTGACTTACATATATCGTGTCTATCTACTGATGCATCGTAATGCATTGACTTACATATATCGTGTCTATCTACTGATGCATCGTAATGCATTGACTTACATATATCGTGTCTATCTACTGATGCATCGTAATGCATTGACTTACATATATCGTATCTATCTACTGATGCATCGTAATGCATTGTCTTACATATATCGTGTCTATCTACTGATGCGTCGTAATGCATTGTCTTACATATATCGTGTCTATCTACTGATGCGTCGTAATGCATTGTCTTACATATATCGTGTCTATCTACTGATGCATCGTAATGCATTGACTTACATATATCGTGTCTATCTACTGATGCATCGTAATGCATTGTCTTACATATATCGTGTCTATCTACTGATGCGTCGTAATGCATTGACTTACATATATCGTGTCTATCTACTGATGCATCGTAATGCATTGACTTACATATATCGTGTCTATCTACTGATGCGTCGTAATGCATTGACTTACATATATCGTATCTATCTACTGATGCATCGTAATGCATTGACTTACATATATCGTGTCTATCTACTGATGCGTCGTAATGCATTGACTTACATATATCGTGTCTATCTACTGATGCATCGTAATGCATTGTCTTACATATATCGTGTCTATCTACTGATGCATCGTAATGCATTGACTTACATATATCGTGTCTATCTACTGATGCGTCGTAATGCATTCTTACATATATCGTGTCTATTTACTGATGCATCGTAATGCATTGACTTACATATATCGTATCTATCTACTGATGCGTCGTAATCATTGTACATATATCGTGTCTATCTACTGATGTGTCGTAATGCATTGTCTAACATATATCGTGTCTATCTACTGACATGTTAAACTGGATCTTCACAAATAGTAACACCTACTGAAACAATATCCAAATGTCGTCCTTGTTTTCTTTGTATGGAACGATTGCATACATTTGTAGGTAGGTCTTGGTTTATTTTATTTTGCATCACGACATCATTTTTCTGAAAATTGTACTTGCAACCATTTACTGACTTTGTAAATTCTAATATTCCGATTCCGAACGGTTTGTGATGGGGATTTATCACAGAAATATGCAATGGAGATTTTATAAGCGCTTCTACCAATTCGTGGTTTGTATTTATCGAAACTAAACAGCCATTTCTATTTATGAAAGTATCAACACAGACTTGTTCTAATATTTCTAAATTGCAAAAGGCACTATGTGATCATAGTGAGTGAATTAAGATTTTTAAGTAACATTGACTATTTCTAACAGATCGCGACGAAAACAAGTTTTTAATTCAAGATAATTACATTTTGTCAACGAAGGACAATAAAAACAACTGGAAGATTACAATATGTAAATCAGAAAACATTTTAACTATTAAGACCATGCATTAAAGAAACAGGCTATGATGATCATAATATCTAACTGTGAAACTAGTTCACGACATTTCGTATGAGCTTACAAAAAACCACTTCCACTAGCTGACAATATACTGATGTACAAAAGAAAGTGCACACTTGGTGTTTTGAGACCAGATTAAAACGTAAATATTTTGCTAGCAATGTTCCAATTGGGTACAATACCTATGGCGTTATTGCAACAGGTTCTCAGTGTTTGTGAAATGTGAGTCACAATCAAAACACTTTTTTAAATATTACGCTGTTTTTAGGAAAATATTTTACCAAAGCATGTGTGTACTTTCTTTTATACGTCAGTTTAGTTCCTGATATCAGAGTGGGTGGGGCGTATGCTACATTATGACGCTGGCCAATTTCCCTGATTTCATAACGTCGTATAGTTGTTCCTGCGAAGGAAATGAATGTGTTTACATATACGCGAATACTGAAGCCAGCTCCTAAGTTATGGATGAATGGTTCCTATCTGTCTGTGCGGTGTCTATAATCAATGGCTATGTTTAGATGGTGGCGTATTCCCCCGAGGTCCAAGCTTGGCACCCTTCTTCCGGACTTCCCCGACATAAAAGACGTCAAGATCCCACCTAACATCGATGAATCCAAGGTAACAATAGCCACGCCCATTTCTAATCCGTATCATTATTTCATTTGTAATAGGTATCACGCCATTTTACCAATCAGTGGTAACGTAATTCTATATTTGGCTGTGTATGTACAGTTTGACATTGTTAACGAGGTACCACGTACGAGATCTCGTCAATCAAGATAAATCCGACATTTCCTCGTTTCGTTTGTTTGTAATTTACATTTTAGCATGATTATCTATTTTGACGTTAATCATGTTGTAACAAACTTTTGACACACGGCACTGAAGACAACATGAACATATAGACATGTACTTAATACATTCTTTCGAGGTATTACTCTTTCGGGGCACTTATATGGCGTAGTATGTATTCCTTGCACAAAAGTAATAATTCCTTCCTGGGCATAGATTTTCGAAGCTCTCTTAGCGCTAAGATAGTCGTAAGTTAATGTTAATGTATGGCACTTACGACCAGTGTGCGAAAGAGCCACGCGCTCGCTAGCCCGTGGCTAGTAACAATCCAGTCGGGCCAGTAAATCTCCACTGTCAATGGACCGACTGGCTTGTGAATTTTCATTGGGTCATTTTGTTAAGATATCAGTCTCTCCGACTTGTTAAATTAGACTGCACTTTTAAATCATGCAAGATTATGGCCTGATAAAAATCTTTATCTTATTAAAGATGAAACCCGTGTCTACATTCAAATTTCGGGCAAGCGAAATATTTTGTGGGCTAGTAACTTTCAGGCATAGCTAGCCCGACCGGCTGGCAAAATTTGGAAACTATTTCGCATACTGCTTACGACTATCTTAGCGCTAAGAGAGCTTCAAAATCTAGGCCCAGTTGTGTTGGATAATTTTACATTACGACAGATATTATTGTCAAGGAGCGGACAAAGGGTCCTCAAATATCCCAGTGTAGACCGATCGCACGCTGACTATTGCTTTACTGTGGTTTGGTCCGACCAACCTCAAATCAACACTTATGTTACTGATGTTGCTGTTGCAGGTGGTCACGTTCCTGATGATGTACCGTACACACTGTCAGAGAATACTTGACACTGTCATCAGAGCAAACTTCGAAGAGGTGGGTCTCATGACGTTTTCTAAGATTTGTACACTGATCACCTGGTTCTACAGATGTCGTAAGTAATGCCTGAATTGAAAGCCATGTCTAACTGTTTTAACTCACACACACACTCTACGGTCCAGAGTGAGTGAGTGAGTGGGTCGGGTGAGTGAGGTTGCTGGTGCAGGTGTCCAACTCATGTTTCCTGTTGTCATGGTAAATTGAAGTTTAAATATCTGTGTAATCACCACAAACCGGAAATCTATTAGGGCTATCTGTTTCCATGACCTCAGAACCAATACCTGCCTGAGTACTGTCTCTAACGTTGTAGTTGTTTAGCTAACTGTATACTCACTGTGCGAAATAGCCACTGGCCCGCTAGCCCGTGTCTAGTAAATATCCAGTCGGGCCAGTAAATTTCTACAGTCACTGGTCCGACTGGCTAGTGAATTTTCATGGGGTTAGTTTTGTAAATATATCACTCTCTCCAGCTTGTTAAGTTATAATACACTTTTAAATCATGCAAATCGGGTGGTCAGGCTCGCTGGCTTGGTTGACACATGTCATTTGTTCCTAATTGCGCAGATCGATGCTCATGCTGTTGATCACTGGATTGTGTGGTCCAGACTCGATTATTTACAGACCACCGCCATTTAGCTGGAATATTGCTGAATGCGGCGAAAAACTAAACTCACTCACTCACTCCATATCCATACTGAATGTATGTCAATGTTTCAGGTCCAGAGCTTCCTTCTCCACTTCTGGCAGGGGATGCCGGCCCACATGGTGCCGATCCTGGACTGCCAGTCTATCGTTATGCTGGTGGGCGTGTGTGACTCCATCCTGTACAAGGCTATAGCCAGCGTCCTAATGCCCACAGTGTTACAGGCACTGCCAGACAGGTAATTCATCGCCGTCACGCATTAAACCTCTCATCGTCGTCCACCGGACTGTGTTTGACATCAAAATATTCTGGATTGATTGAGTAAACCTTTACGCACACTCAGCAATATTCCAGCTATATGGCGACAGTCCGTAAATAATCGAGTCTGGACCAGACAATCCAGTGATCAACAGCATGAGCATCGATCTACGCATTTGGGATACTTTGACATGTGTCAACCAAGTCAACGAGCCTGACCACCCGATCCCGTTAGTCGCCTCTTACGACAAGCACGGGCTACTGAAGATCAATTCTTCACGGGTCGACTTCAAGATACATACACATCACTATAATCATATGTGAAGACTGATATGTGCATGACATAGAGCTAATTTTGTGAAAAGAGAGATCATTTTGCTGTTAATTTTATACTGCCATACAGGTATGTCCATTTAAAAACGCTGTGGGGGCGGTGGGGTAGCCTAATGGTTAAAGCGTTGGCTCGTCACGCCGAAGACCCAGGTTCGAATCCCCACATGGGCACAATGTGAAGCCCATTTCCGGTGTCCACCGCCGTGATGTTGCTGGAATATTGCTAAAAGCGGCGTAAAACTAACCTCACTCACTCACTCACTCAATGCCATGCTTTAGTCGATGCCCTTCCAATGCCACGCTTTAGTCGATGGCCTGATACGTTTAAATCCATACTTTAATATCATATCGACTGGGAACTAAATACCAAAGTGTTTTTTTGGCAAACCTAAAGGAACTTTCATGGAGTAAGCATGCCTCAAAGAGTACTTCCTACCTGTGTTCCTGTGTTTCAGTTTGACACAGGTGATTCGGAGGTTTGCCCGCCAGCTGGACGATTGGCTCAAACAGGCTCTGGACACACTTCCAGACTGTCTGCAAAGAACAAAATTTGACCGTAAGTATTCAAGTCACAAGCGTATTCGTCGCTTATACAGTTTATCCATTGACCAAGGCATTATGTAAGATACAGGAAATACCAGGACACGGCTCAGGTGCAGATTACTATATTACAAAGTCAAGATTATATGAACTTTCAAAAGCTACCAATTCAACATTTAAACTGTCTTCTATGCTTCACCCATTAATATCCCGCTCCACCCAGTCGACCAGGGGCGATAGGGTAGCCTAGTGGTTAAAGTGTTCGCTCGTCATGCCTAACACCCGGGTTCGATTCCCAACATGGGTACAATGTGTGAAGCCCATTTCTGGTGTTCCCCGCCGTGATTATTGCTGGAAAATTGCTAAAAAAAGCGGCGTACTCAAAAAGAGAAAATATGGATGGAAGACTATAATTATTAGTAGAGGCCTCGTACCCAATTGTCTTTACTTCTTAAATAGTGTGAAGTTTCCAAAATGAGCACTTACTTGGATTGGCCTCTCGTTCCGAGTCGCCGTGTTGTGATCTGAGGAAACTGCTGACGGATTATCTGAAACACAGCAATATTCTAATCATTTATTGCCTGCCAGTCATCCCAATCATACTGGACCCGTGAAGGTACGGGTTAGAATGAACCTTCTGTAACCCATGTTTGTCGTAAGAGGCGACTAACGGCGTAGGACTATACTTAATCACTCACTCTGTACACAGCATTGCAACGTCATAACCACCGTGATATATGTGTTCAGTGGCGAGGCGGTTCGCCCAGGTGCTGCGGCGACAGACGTCCCTGAACCACCTGTGTCAGGCGGCCCGAAGTGTCATTCACAGCTCCGACATCACTCTACAGATGCTGGACGACTGGCTCAGCGTCGACCTCAGCAGCATCGTCAAGCAGACCCTCTACACCATGGACCACTACTCGGAGCGGGAGCATGAGACGATATTCAATTGTAAGCGGGTTGACCATATCAGCGGATGATTTTGGCTTATTATTGGCGGTGGGGTTGGTTGGTTGGTTGGTTTCATATGTAACGCAGCAATATTCCAGCTATATGGCGACGCAGTTGGGATACTATGACATGTGACAGCCAAGTAAGCGAGTCTGATCACCTGATCCCGTTAGTCGCCTCTTACGATAAGCAGGGGTTGCTGAAGAAAAGTTGCAACCAAAACCATTGGTTCGTCACTCCGAAGACCCAGGTTCGATTCCCCACATGGGTACAATATGTAAAGCCCATTTCTGGTGTCCCCGCCGTGATATTTGCTGGAATATTGTTAAAACCAGCGTAAAACAAAACCCACTCACTCACTATTGCTTGGGTTACAGAATCCATCTACCGACAACTTTAAATACTTTCGAACGCCTAATAAACATTTGCTATTTTCTGGTTAATCAAGATGTAAAACATTTCTTCTCATTGATATTAGCTAGTTTTATCTTTAAAACCACCATCTTCCCAACACAGACAATCGCTTTGTGACACATCAATTCTCGTTATAGCGCGAGTAATAGCGATAAACTAACCGTCATACACGTGTGTTGTCCGAAAACAATCCAGTGATCAACAGCATGAGCATCGATCTGCGCAATTGGGAACCGATGACATGTGTCAACCAAGTCAGCGAGCCTGACCACCCGATCCCGTTAGTCACCTCTTACGACAAGCATAGTCGCCTTTTGTGCCGAGAAACATGACCCCACGATACATGTATCATGATTGTAATGTTTGTCCTTCGGGTGATGAAGATCCGGTTAGGATTGATCTTCAGTAACCCATGCGTGTCCTCAGAGGCGACTAACGGGATCGGGTGGTCAGGCTCGCTGACTTGGTTGACACGTCATCGGTTCCTAATTGCGCAGATTGTTGCTCATCCTTTAGATTACAGGATTGTCGGGTCCAGACTCGATCATTTACAGACCGCCGCCATATAGCTGGAATATTGCTGAGTGCGGCGTAAAACTACACTCACTCACTCACTCACTTAGGGTGATTTTGTCGAGGTGAGGACGTGTATATCTGGTTCTCTGTCTAGCCCACTGAGTACATAATAATTGTATTTTTTTTCTGCAGTGTGCACGGAGTTCGAGCGTCTCCTGGAAGAGCAGGCCCCGATCGAGTCTTACATAGAGTGGCTGGACAGCATGGTTGACCGCTGTGTCATACAGGTAAGCACAAAACACAGTACCTACCTCCAAAATAGACCCGTAAAGATCCGGGTTAGAATTGGTCTTCAGTAACCCATGCTTGTCTTAAAGGGCGACTAACGGGATCGGGTGGTCAGGCTCGCTGACTTGGTTGACACATGTCATCGTATCCCAGTTGCGTAGATCGATGTTCATGCTGTGTCTCATCACATTGCTGATACAAGACTCAAGATGTTCTCCAGTATGTTTTCAATACTTGAGTTTCCAATTCAGCATCACTGCAATTAATATATTGTGTCATACTCTCCGCTCTAACTTGGTGACATGTATAAAACTTTGACATAAAGCACATATTCCAACTCACACTAATCTGACCTATAGTATATCCCGAAGTAGTATACATAATGATGATTCTTTTACATGGTCCCTCTATAAAAAAAATGTTTCCTTCACCCCATGCTTACAAACAACACACAATATGATCTGATATCCTGATATCCTGATATCCTGATGTCCTGATATCCTGATATCCTGATGTCCTGATATCCTGATATCCCTCTCTGAACTGACTCTTTACTTGTTGCAGCCCAGTTTGAAGAAGTCGGGGACGATGCGCCGATTAGCTCGTCAGTTTCTGCTGATGTGGTCCTGCTTTGGGACCAGGGTCATCCGTGACATGACGCTCCACAGCTCGCCCAGCTTCGGTAAGTAGCCTGCAGTGCTGAGACTGCATCTCATGCAAAGTGAGTGAGTGAGTTGGGTTTTACGCCACTTTTAGCAATAATTCAGCAATATCACGGCGAGGGACACCAGAAATGCACTTCACACATTGTACCCATGTGGGGAATCGAACCCGGGTTTGGGGCGTGACGAGCGAACGCTTTAACCACTAGGCTACCCCACCGCCCCTCATGCAAAGGGGCTAGGGGGTAACCTCGTGGCTAAAGCGTTTGCTCGTAACGCTGTTCTGATGATGATGATGATGATGATGATGATGATGATGATGATTGATGTTCTTAGAAATATTATTTTTATTATGAAAGGCTCTTTCCACCTCCTGCACCTGATGTTTGACGACTATGTGATGTACCTGGTAGAGAACCTATACTGTCAAGAGCGAGCTAACGACTTCCTGCGAGCTATCAAGGGAGAGAACTCAGACAGTAAGCGCAACGTATATTACGTATTTTATCGTATATCTTGTTCTAGTCGAACGATAAGAAGAACACCATATGTTTTCTATAGTTGAAAAGACAATTTATAAGATATAGTCACAGATAGGTTTTTTTATACCCGTTTTAAGTTTGAATCAGACGGACAGGTGAAAAATGTATGATAAACAATATACCATTCAAAAAGAAAACAATAATACAGTATCGTTTATCCTTCTTTGTAAAAACGTGTATGCTTTGTAGAAGTCATTTTGTTTACATGTACAATATCAGGGCTCCAGAGAAGGATAAACAATATGCACGATACAGTAGGAAATAATTTAGAAAACGTAGCAGATACGCACCACATCAATGGTGTACGGAATCATTTACAGACGTATTTATCTGAAAAAGTATTGTTTTATTTTTGTCCATTGACCTGTTTACACAAGAGTAACAATGTTGTGGTGCATATATGAAACGAAACACAAGATTCTGATACTCCATTAATATCCATTCAGTACTCGAAATGTACACTTGGGTTTTCCAGTACTCTTATATTGAACAAAGAAAGAGTACGTACTCCTGATTATCTGGACCCCTGAATATTATTCCATTTAATAGAACGCACGTTGGTGAATATGTTTGAGTGTGCTATGTACTTCGGTGGGAAGACCCTTGACGTAGCCTTGTGCAGCGATATATTGAATGTGTAATCTACATTCCAGATCCAATAGAAGATATCATTCTTCCAGATCCAAGTGTTATCAAGGACAGCTTGTTATCACCTGCTGACACGGCGACCTTGACACCTACGATACAAGAACGAGGCTCTGTCATCACGAATGCACGCAATGTCATGGGTCACATGTCAGGTAAGGTCATAGGCCAAACATCCGGACATTCCATTCGTTGTGGGCGTCCATGTGACTGTGAACTTATAGGGTGATGTGAATTGCAGTTACAGCTATTGACAATATATATTGTATATTGAAAATTAACTTCTTTACAGCCTACCCATGGTCTCTGGCGTGGTGATCTACCTTCAGTTGTTGGCAACCTAAAGCACATCTTCATATTGCATTGTTCTATTTAATAATATCGTTTTATGATAGCATGCTAGTTTTACTTTAATATACTCATACCAATAATGGTTGTCACCCCTTCAATTTTTAATTGGAGAGAGGGTGTGGGGGTGTGATTGTGAGGTGTGTGGGGTTGGGGTGGGAGGGTGACAACCATTATTGGCATGAGTATATCTGTGATATACTAGTAGTTTTACTGTTCTTCAACAACAGACTTTTAATTTCTAATTGTATTGATTAATAATATAATAATTAATTGTTCTCGTCACGATGTGGCTGAAATATTGCCGATGTGACGATAAATATTAACTCACTTACTCTTTACAGCCTACGATGACGCTAATGGGGACATGTCAATTGACAAACCACAGTGAACTTGCAGAGTGATGGGTATCACAATTGCAGCTGTTGACAGGTGCTTTGCATAATGGTATATATATACACATCTTTTTTACAGCATACGATGATGCTAGCGGAGTGACGTCATCATCGTGCAGCGAGAGACTGACCAATCAGAACAAAGTGACGCCAGACTCGCCTCGGTCTCGACATCAAATCCCTGTCTCACAAAGGTTAGAATTGATCTTCAGTAACCCATGTTTGTTGCAAGAGGTGACTAACGGGATCGGGTGGTCAGACTCGCTGACTTAGCTGACACATGTCATCGTATCACAATTGCGTAGATGGACGCTCATGCTGTTGATCACTGGATTGTCTGGTTCAGACTCGATTATTTACATACCGCCGCCATATAGTGCGGCGTAAAACTAAACTCAATCAATCAATCAGTCAACCAAACAAAAATAGAATCTGCAGAGTTTCGCACCGACGCCTAGTACATATATACAGAAAATCATTTTGAGAGTTTGAGGACTAATGGCTATGGATGCAGTCATGTGCTGTTATGTCTCACTAGGTTCTGTCCAGTCTGAGTGTATATCACTGTCTTCCAACACCGCACATGACTAACGATGCTAAACGACAATGATAGTTCCTAGCACACCTGTACAACTTGTTCAGCGTGACCTGATCAAGTGAATACAAATGAATTGCATGACCGTGTCACAGCTGGTTGGGTCTATTATTGTGAAGGGTGCACCTTTGTCAGTTGATTGTCAACATGTCCGAACAGCCGAGACAAGGTCGCCGTTTCACACCTCAGTGTCGAGAAATCGTCTGCAATATCCTAACTTTCTTGAAATAAAAATGAAGCTACAAGGTCAGAAGTGTTGTTTTTCCGGGACAAGTTCTGTAACGAATCCATGCATGTTTTGCACGAACGCAACATTAATAACATTCTCTGCTCCCTATTTAATGAAGTTAACTCGACCTGCCGTTTGTGCAATTTGACCTCCCGGGTCATGCATATGTACAGGTCCACCATATAAACTTTCTGAAAGCTTTCCTGAGGCTTTGAATGTATTAGGTCTGCAAGTGGGCCCGTGACAATCACCTCTATGCTTCTGATCCGAAACATTATCTTTTCTACATAATCTTCGATCGCACCTTTAGCATTTCCTAATAATCCATCCAATCAATCTTGTGTCCAAGGACATCTTCAGGAAGTCATTTCTTTTCATTCCAGCAATAACCAAGCGGTGTTCCAGTCTTGTGCTTCTTACAGTGCCCCCTACAGTCAAGGTCACACAAAAAGTACGCATGCGCATCCCGGAGGTCAAGTGCAATACAACTATGACGTCACTTCCGGACAGGTTTGTACTGTTGCTAAACGTACCATAAATACTATCTTTCATGCCGAAAATGTACTCTAAAGTATTTAAGTAATTGTTTCATGTTTCAATACATGTTACATATTACATGTACAAAATGTTCACTCGGTGTCTGAAGTTTGTCTCTGACGACCGACCGCCTCCGTGGTGTAGTGGTTAGAGCGTCCGCCCGGAGAGCGGAAGGTCGCGGGTTCGATCCCCGACAGCGTCATACCAAAAAGACGTTAAAATATGGTACTTGTTGGTCCCTGCCTGGCGCTCGGCATTAATGGGTACAACAAGGACTGGTCGGCTCGGAGTCAGTATAATATGTCTGAGTGGGGCATTCATGCTTCACTGCGGCATGGTATCTCAGTGGGCTGGCACTATAAAACCAGTCTGGGCTAGTACAAGCAGTCGCACATACACACACACATGCATGCACGTCGTCATATGAGCGAAATATTCTCAAGCACGACGTTAAACCCAATTTCACCTCACCTCACTCACAATAAACACTCCTGAACACAGAACACTCGTGTACACGAGTTATCTCCACTGAATGAAGACGCTTGCTTTTCCCGTATTTTATGTATTCTAAACACAATAACTTTCTGCTGCTGATTTGTCTCTGCATTCATGAAAGCTGTATGCTGTTTGTTTACAGATGCCTGGTCAGCTGACAGACGAGACCGTAAGACAGGTTGCAATGTCACAGTCCGCCATGCGCAGTGGGGGTATTGGTACGGACTGGTCGCTAAGCAACCACCCGAGGCAACAAACGACAATGAACGAAAATGTCCCCCCTCTGATTAAGATGTGAGTGCTTTCCTGTATTTTATACATTTCGGGTAAGGGATGGTTGGTTTGTTGTTTAACGCCGCACTCAGCAATATTCCAGCTATATGGCGGCGGTCTGTTAATAATCGAGTCTGGACCAGCCAATCCAGTGATCAACATCATGAGCATCGTTCCACGCCATTGGGATACAATGACATGTGTCAACCAAGTCGTCAGCAGGTCTGGCCACCCGATCCCGTTAGTGAAGACGGTAGTTCCCCGGGTTCAGTCAGTCAAAATACAGTCGAGCACCGTTGTGTCGAACTCTGATAACTCGATATCTCGGTTGTCTCGATATAACATCTCGGTCCCGGCAAAATCCTTCATAATTTATCATTATTCAAGCTCTTTTAACTCGATACGGATGTCTCGATATTTCGGATATCTCGATATAATTACATGGTCCCAACAAGCAAATTTACCCTGTTAACTCGATATTTGCAAAGAGACTCGATATTCACCTACTTTTCATGGGCAAGTATCCCTCTGAACTGAGGTTGTTTCCACACGTTTACACGCGGTGCGGCACGAATCAAAGGGATGCGGTAGTGTAAACTAATTAGGGTTAATTGAGTTGAAGGTGCCACTTGTTTGTTATTTAATTAGGATTAACTAAGAATGCATTAATTAGGAAGTACTCACTGTTGCGACTAAACACTACTGATAACGGATTATAGTTTCGAATCAAAACATACTGAGAAGCGTTTCGTTTTCTTTCATAGTGATATGTCATGATATGCCCTATAAGCAAGTAAGATTGTTTATGGATAACAACTTCTTTTATCATATATGATGCGACGTTTCGGTATGGATTCTTATACCGTTGTCAAGCATGGATTCTTATACCGTTGTCAAGCAAGAAAAAAGAAGTTGTTATCCATAAACAATCTTACTTTCTTACTAGTCACCAACTTCTAAATGCCAATCAAACAGATCATGATATGCCCTGGTTGGATGTCTCGAAGTTCGGATGTCTCGATATTTGTTCTTGGTCCCATGAATATCGAGACAACGGTGCTCGACTGTACATATACTGTATTTGAAGAAATGTTTTTCTTTGTTGATGATATTTGTTTCCTTTTGGTATTTCTTACACTAATGTTATTATAATTATTCATTTCCAGGAACGAAACCCACGGCTACACTTCTCCGTTCCCCCCATCCACCCGACAGTCAGGCATGGAATGCGGAGCCTACAACTACGAGAACGTTGGAAAACCTGCACCACAGACAGCTCCGGACAACAGCTCCTACGGTTACCATGGATACACCCCCCGTCGGCGATTTTTATAACTTCACGGATCCCAACTCAAAGCGAAAATTGGAAGAAGACACATTTTTTCGATCGTATAAGAGACAGACAAAGGACTTCTATTATGAAAATATTCCTGGAGGTTTCGCCCAGATGTAATTGATGTGACAGAGTGGATGGGTGTTATTTATTTGAAAACAGTGCTATAAGTATGTATGTTGTTGCGAGGATGTTCAATGTAAAAATAATTCTGTGTTGGGAACCTGTTATGTACTTGTCCTTAAATCTTGACATTTTGTCAATTTTATGATATCTGATATCTTCCAACGACTATCAAGACCAACATGGAAATAACGACTTTCAGGCACGCGCTATTTAAGTCATTTATCACAGGCAGGAGATCTAGCAAAGATCACTATTTCAGCGTGAACTGTAGTGAGTGAGTGAGTTTAGTTTTACGCCGCTTTTAGCAATATTCTGCAATATCATGGCGGGGGAAACCAGAAATGGGCTTCACACATTGTACCCATGTGGGGAATCGAACCCGGGTCTGCGGCGTGACGAGCAAACGCTTAAGCCACTGGACTACCCAACCGCCCCGCGTGAACTGTTCCCGGTTGCAGTGCATGAACTTTTATCTATTATTTATTAAGGCTGGTTATTTACCAACAGCCAGGGACCAACAGCTTAGACTTCAGAGTTCCGCTGATCATCTATTGTAAATCATGGTGCGATGATTTTAATATGTGCCAAAATCTTTTAATACAATATCATGTATGTATTTTGTCATCCACACGAGATTTATTGGCTTGTCGTCTTCGTGTTTGCGAGTGGTTTTCCCATAATCGTCGGGAACTGTTCAGTCCTAGTCAGAAAGATGTTTGACACTTTAGGCTCGTTTCCGGAAGGTCTATCTAAGCGATGTGACTGTTCTAATTTATGTATGATCTTAATTTAACAAAAAATAAAATGAAACAATTCTAAGGTCACTGTTATTGTCGTTTGTTTGTATTTACGGAAACACTGAAATGGGGAACAATGGTTTCGACTTTTGAAATATACACGCATCTATCTTTTGGAGTGAGCGAGTTTAGTTTTACATTGCTTTTAGCCATATTCCAGGAATATCACGGCGGGGTAAGCCTGAACCGGGCTTTGCACATTGTATCAATGTGGGGAATCGAACTCGGGTCTTCGAGCGAAAGATTTAACCACTAGGCTACCCCACCGCCCCCGAGTGAGTGAGTTAATATTTATCGTCACATCGGCAATATTTCAGCCATATTGTGACGAGAACAATTAATTATTGTATTATAGAATAATAAAATTAGATATCAAAAGTCTGTTGACAAAGAACAGTAAAATTACCAGTATATCACAGATATTAAAGTAAAACTAGCATTTCTTTAGCCTATGGCGCAGTTACAACCAAGCTGTCGTTGTGATTCGAATAGATATAGAGCTGCCAGCAGCTTAACACGTGCATCTGTTATCACACAGTCTTGGGCCCAATGACCGCCTCCGTGGTGTTTTATTGTGTGTCAATATTTGAGAATGATTTTCAAACAGGGTTTTTTGCCTCATTAAGTGAGGTGAGGTGAAATTGGGGTAAAGGTCGTGATTGAGAATATTTCGCTCATATGACGACTTGCATGCGTGTGTATGTGTATGTGCGGCTGCTTGTACTAGCCCAGACTTAAGCTGGTTTTATAGTGCTAGCCAACTGAGATACCATGCCGCAGTGAAGCATGAATACCCCACTCAGACACATTGTACTGACTCCGAGCCGACCAGTCCTTGTTGTACCCATTAATGCCTAGCGCCAGGCAGGAACCAACAAGTACCATATTTTAACGTCTTTTGGTATGACGCGGTCGGGGATTAAACCCGCGACCTTCCGCTCTCCGGGCGGACGCTCTAACCACTACACCACGGAGGCGGTCCACAATGTTCTGTGTTAGGACCAAGTTAACTGAAGCTACAGCCAAATGTAGGATATTTACACAAGCCAATGACATATGTCAACCAAGTCAGCTGTTAAGTGTAACCCTTTGAACAGGTTTGCCTGTACAGATCTGGTTTCATGAGTCATGTCAGTGTATGTTCTGCAACGACACCAAAGACGACGACGATGATGGGTGACCTGTTACCAGTGTACCCTGGTTCGTGATGTCATCACCAAATTAAAACACCTGCAGCAGTTAGGGCTTTCTTCCCACGTCAAGCGGACACTGACACAGACTCTCACTCAGTCACACACTCACTCACTAACTCCTGATGAATTAAATTCTTTCTGTGTCATTCACAAACATCAAGTCGTCTTTATCATAATTTATTCAAAACCAATGTTAATTAGCAAACTTCACAAATTCATAAATTACATTCATTAATCCACAGAACAACATAAGGTGACAAATGGAATGTTATACGTCTCCCAGTAGAGCTTGTTCCAGGTTAACACTTGCCCTTGCTTATGTTTGTGGAATTATATACACAAAGAACTTAGTTTAGCAACCCCTAACATATCTCACGATCGACTGCGCCCCGATCTTAACCCTTTTGAGCATATTTGGGACATGATTGGTCGTCGTGTGCATCAAAGTGATCATACTGTACAGAACCTGGCCCAATTGGAAGCTGCCTTACACGAGGAATGGTGTTGACTGTCCCGTTAGAGGATCAGGAGACTGACAGGGGGTATGAAGAGGAGTGTGCTGGCTGTCATACAGTCGCATGGAGGTTACACTCGGTATTGACCTTGAATCGTGTAGGACGTACAAAATGGCATTTTGAATGTTCACATTCATTCACCAGTACATTAAAAATTAAGCATTTTGGGCCATAATTGTACAGACATGGTTTTGTATGAAAATCAGTTAAAATGAGCAATTATCATCATAAATCAACATGGATTCCAGGAGCATTTTGTCGTTTTTTATGAGTCAAAGGATCATACCGGTCAGAAAAACTTGTGTATTTCGATCGAGGTCACCACTGCAAAAATACATTTGGTGCTTAATTAAGTTCTTTGTGTATTACTAGTATAAATGTTTCCGAAAATCTAACATGATCAGCATTTGTACGGATTTATTAACACATACTTACCACATGATTGGAATTGTACAAGGAGCTCTGCTTTTAGGGTTTAGGCCTTCATACTATACACATGCATTTGAGGATACAAAACACATACCCCAACGTTTCAAGAATTCCTTTGATAAATGACTACAGACATTGTTCAATGTATGACGTTGCTATGAAACTACAAATAAATTACTACAAACACAACAATCCACTGACTATAAGTTCAACTGTAATGTCTGACGTCCCACCAGTACAACATTGGTCTTGAGGAAAACAGCAATTTTGTTAAGAGGTGTCACAAACTCCATTCCAAACCAAAGCATTCCCTGTAAATGAGTGTCGTAACAAAATAAAATGATTTCACGAAAAGGATAACATTTATTCCAAAGTTAATTTATATGAATGTTTAGTCTTTTTGTTACGATGTTTCTTTTGTATATCAATGAAACGAACAGTTAATAGAATATATAGATGGAGTCCCCACTATAACATTGGCCAGAGTCATATAACTGAGTAGATTGTTACCATTATATTTAGCACCAAGTTCCAATTACAAACAGATCAGGACATTTACATTTGTTTGATATATCAGAGTGTAAAATCGATCGTTAAATAGGTCTGGGTATTCTCAGAGCAATTCTGTGGTGTTGATGGTTGGAATATGATTGATGACGTTGTGAAGATGACTGTTGTGAACTGATGCAATACATTTGCTGGGGCATCTTCCATTCCCATTGAAATGGTCATATTATGTGTTCAACTGAGTAGGAAGTATCGGCGTTTCTGTTCATCAGAGACCATGTATTCTGTCTAAAAGGATTTTCTGTCGAGTAGATATGAGAAACTTCAAAAGTTAAAATGCATACCTCGGTTTTCCAAGATGTAAAATATGTACAATATCAAAACTTATATTTCTTACCTTGTGCCAGAGACAAGTACTTGTCGAATTGCGGGAAATATTTGAACCGACCTCCCAAGATGACGTTAGGCTCGAAAACAATTAAATTACACTTATTTGGATGTTCTGGTGCAGCGCGTGAAAACAGTCATCTACAGTGCCGACAGTGCTTTTCAAATGCATGATTTATGCATATTGTTTGGATAAGTGGACACGACTGAAAAAATAGCACACAGTTCAGCTAAAACTTTATGAGTCATGTTGACGCAGAGCTTAAAATATACACATTAAAACAGATTCATGTGATGGCACTCAAAATGGAAGACGCCCGCTACAATAATAATGTCGGCTTAACATTTTGGAACGTAATATGTGATTACATCGGGTCATATGTCACAAGGAAGTCATTCCGGCATCTAACAGAAATAAACTAAAAAAGACGTGAATGCACAATGCCATTTAGAAAGTGGTCAAATATAACGTATGTTATATATGGGATTACACTTTCCCAGTAAAGTAGATTCTAGTACTTTTAGTTGGGTTGAGTCCCATCAGGGATTCAAAGTCACGCCGTCAGAGTCGGGCACCTAATCGCCTGTACGCAAAGTCAGTCACTCAGTGTAAGCCGAGGAGGCTGAGTGGGCTAGATGGGGTACTTTGTGTGCTGGCGTTGAGGGTGTGGAATGAGACTGAACTCAACAAAAGTACAAGAATCTGTACTGAGAAAGTTTAATCTTAAATATAACGTGTCAAAACAGGCATGTTAGGGATTGAAAAAAAGTAAGTGGGTGCATGTTAAAGGTTAGAAATGATGGTTAGCCGTTCTGAGTCTCAAGCAACACTGTCTGACAATGAAATAAATAACATGTGAAGTGGGGCTTTATGAACAAGAAAATAAACAGCTGGAGAAACACAGAACTACTCCACACTATCACACAAACTCACTGGACACTCATTCAAAATGGCAAGATCTGTTTTCGTATTCGAAGCCATACAGAAACACAACCGAACACAAAGGAAAGTGTGGTTAAGAAGGGAAATATTGTTACGTCGGGTTGTTGACCATGAGAATGATCGTTTTTTGGTTAATGAGTGACGCAACTGGAGCCCTTCCCATAGACTAACAGCTAGTCTCTGAAATGAACATAGTTTACAGAAAATACAAGTTTTTAAATTAAAATTATAAATACAATAAAAAGGAGCCCGAGACTTTCTTCAAACATTGCCACATTTTCTAGACTTGCGTGGGCTTTCTTGGATATATTTGCTTCAGGGTCTGTATGACTGACTACCCTTCCCACTTTTGTAATGCATGTACTAGTAAATGAGAAGTCCCTAACGCGTCAAGTAATCAAGACTATATTGCCACACCACACATAGAGGAATATGTTAGATAATATATGTTCCCTAAGCAATAGTGTTTTGTTAGGGCACATAAGGTTAATAGAATTATATATTCGATGCCACATGTCAGATTCTGATTAAGCGCCGCGAGCAATCACTTGGTGTTTGGAGACTGTGCGCTATAGAAGATGACTTATAATTATTAGTATTATTATTAAATGTGCGAACACCTCACACTTTATTGTTTCGAGGAAAGTTTGCTTTTTAGTACAAGACAAAATATTTTCTTTGTGAAAGTCAAAGACATATTTGTTTTGTGAGAGGGTAGCTATCACCTTTAGAGGATGAGACAAAGGCTCAGTTTCCCTTGACAGCGAAATTCTGAACCACATCGAGTAAGAATAGGCAAGAATGGTACACGGACATGGAATATAAAACAAGCTAACTAAGATAAACTAAACACAAGAACTAAAGTGGAAATACTGACAGTCAGGAAGAAAAGCAAAGGCGCCGGAAATCCTACCAGTGTGACCGGAAGTGACGTCATCAACACGTGACCGCTCCTGAAGAGCTTGGGTCATGCGTATCATATTCTTCGAGGTCAAAAGGTCATTTCTCCTCTTCTGCTGTGATGGGATATCAATTCACTTTCTGTTAGCTCGATAAGTACAAATATCTCCATAACTATTCACGGTGTTTCCATTTCATCAGTTACACTCTTGTTTTACTGTGTGTCGTGAACACCCACAGCGGAACCCTGTTAATCTGGAAACCTGCGTAATAATGACTACAGATATTCCTATCCAAAGACCCATAATTCATGCATACCCTTCATACAACAGACCTGGAATTTCTTAATCTGGACAAAATGCTGGATCGGTACCGTCCAGATTGACAGGGTTTCAGTGTGTACGAAACGATACATGTATCAAACTTGTAGAAAAAAGGCACTCCTACGCCTTGTCTTACCAAAAAACAGTGTCCATTAAAAATAATATAATTTAGTCCAACCCAACCAACCCTTCATTTCTTCTTAGAGATCTCGGTTCCGTCCATAGGGAATATTCAGCACATGTGACATATTTGCCATATTAATAGTGCATTCAAAATCTAATACCCTGACAAATCGTAGATGCTGTTTATAATGTCTTAAGTAACTTGTCTGAATAAACTGTTCTACAGACACATGCGAGGGCTTGATAAGTTCAGATTATCTGGTGATAACTACATCAGAGGCGGATACAGCTTTTTGAGAAAGGGGGGTTGCACACTATTGAAAATAGGAGGGCTGCACATTTCATTTTTTCACCCGAGTTTCAATGGTCATTTAACAAACCTTCAGCACCAAATGGGGGTGGGGTGCACCTCCCAACCAACCCGACCCCCACCATCCCTCTGGATCCGCCTATGTACATTATAATCTCCAGTGGCTACGTTTTGAAACAAAATATCGATACACTATCGGGTGTCTTACTACTGAACATTTTTGTAGTGGAGGCTGAGCATATAATTTCTCTCAAAATAATCAAGATCGTTATTTCCTTTTCTGTACATGTAGTATTAAAGTCTGTGTATGTTTGCTCATACAAACACACAAATCATCATTAAAACCCTACCTATGGGTTAACGAGGCTTTCCTGCCTTGATTGTTTCCTACTCTTTTAACTCGGTTTTCTAAATGTCCACTTGGTTTATAAACAGGGTTAACAAGGATTTAAACCTTGATATTCTAATCTGCCTCTGATTGTTTCATAAATCATCTTTACACTGCATGCCCACTAGGTTTATAAATAGGGTTAACGAGGGTTTCCTACCTTGATTGCTTCCTTATCTTCTAACTCTGCATGCCCACTAGGTTTATAAGCAGGGTTAACGAGGGTTTCCTACCATAATTGTTTCCCAATCTTTTAACTCTAGATCTGCATGTCCACTAGGTTTATAAGCAGTTTAACGGGGATTTAATACCTTGATTGTTTCCTATCTTCTAACTCTGCATGCCCATTGGGTTTATAAACAGGGTTAACGGGGATTTAATACCTTGATTGTTTCCTATCTTCTAACTCTGCATGTCCACTAGGTTTATAAACAGGGTTAACGGGGATTTAAAACCTTAATTCCTTCCTAATCTTCTAACTCAACTTGTTTTAAATGTCTACTAGTTTTATAAACAGGGTTAACGAGGGTTTCCTACCATAATTGTTTCCTAATCTTCTATCTCTGCATGTCCACTAACTTCAGAAACAGGGTTAACGGGATTTAATACCTTGATTGTTTCGTAATGTTCTATCCTGACTGATATATATACTAACTGCGAAGTACGTCAAGTTTTCTACGAGCATATTACAAGCATCTGAATCTATGATGGCGTGTCTTGATACAGCGTCTACAGCAGGGCCTTGATGCTAATCTCCCAGAATCCTCTCTGCGTTTACTGCGCAGCTTCTGCTTCCTGCTCCTCCTTGGCGAGGCAGCGTGGGCACCAACAAGTCACCTGAAAACAGTGAGTGAGTGATTTTAGATTTACGCCGCTTTTGGCAATCTTCCAGCAATATCACGACAGGGAACACCAGAAATGGGCGTCAATGTGTGGAATCGAACCCGGGTCTTTGGTGTGACGAGCGAACGCTGAAAACAGAGAGTTGATGGTGGAGTGAGTGAAATCCGACGCCATTGCAAAATTGTATGGCAAGGTACCAAGAAGATAGGTTACAGATATTGCCTTTACACGCCTTTATTGCCCATGATCATCCGAACTCTCACCTGACAATAGTAATAGAGCAAGCGAAATCCTTTTTAAGACACTTTCACAAGAACCCGTGAAGATCCAGGGTTTATAATAATAGAATTGGTATTCAGCAGCCCATGCTTGTCGTCAAGAGGCGACGTCCAGCTGATCGTGGCGTTAAACAACAACCAACCAACCCTTTCACAGGGCCAGTAAATATCACTGACTGTTTAAGCCAAGGAGTGAGTGAGCAAGTTAAGTTTTACGCTGCACTCAGCAATATTCCAGCTATATGGCGGCGGTCTGTAAATAATCGAGTCTGGACCAGACAATCCAGTGATCAACAGCATCAGCATCGAACTGCGCAATTGGGAACCGATGACATGTGTCAACCAAGTCAGCGAGCCTGACCACCCGATCCCGTTGGTCGCCTCTTACGCCAATCGGGTTACTGACGATCAATTCTAACCCGGATCTTCACGGGTTTAAGCCAAGGAAGGTCCGTCGCTAGCCCAGTGGTTATATGTTCTCCCGTCACGCTGAGGGGCTGTTCCTTTCCCACATGGATGCTACATGTGTTGCCTAATTCTGGTGTCCCCTGGGGTGAGATTGCGGAAAAATAGTTAAAAGCTAACCCTCCCCTCTGATGTTTCCTTTCGTAATTAACTCACAAAACTTACAGTTTACTTACTATAAAATATATGAAAAACTAAAGAGGCCCTTACTATCCAACCTATGTTTTAGACTGATGTTATCAGAATCATATCATTTGGTTTTAGGTTCTTAGTAGGTAGAATCTGCATCTGTCATTAAGTGTCACTGTCGACAGTTGAATATGAATTGAAAAATAACAATTGAAGCGCCCTATAATCACCCTACCTAGACCTCGACATCCATTCAGAAGAGATTCTGGTACAACAGAACATGCTTTGTCGTAGGTTGTAGTTTATACCTCGAAATGGCGAAGGAGATTTCGCGGCAGCATTACATCACGGGTACAAACTGTGAACAATTTCCATGAATTAATTCATGCTTGCTGCATGCTTGCTGACTTGGTTGACACATGTCACCTTCTCCCAATCACTGGATTGTCTGGTCCAGACTCGATTATTTACAGTCCGCCGCCATATAGCTGGAATATGGCTGAGAGTCGCGTTTAAGAACAAACAAATCACACATGCAAAGTATTTTCTACAGTGGTTAAGGTAAATGATGTAACAGTGTGAGGGACCTCCTCTTGGAGCCTGACGTTGTGAGAGAAAGGGAGACTACTCTTCAGACCTTAGGGGCCGAAACTTATTGAAAATTTTATTTTTACTAATAAAGTTACAAACATGATTTGTATTCAAAGGACTGTCCTTGCAAATGAAGACGTAATGATATATGAAAACACAAAACAGTGTGGAATAACGGACACCTGTTCCAGACTTTTTATAATGTGTGTGTTAGACAAAAGTGAGGTAAAGGCCTGTTCTTTGATTGGTCAGTCCTATTATTAATTAATATATATACGACCAAAATAAAACTCCTTCGACATCACATATTAACCGAATCGGGTGTCCATAATCGTCGCCATCATGATGACCGTAAAATCATATGTCTGTTGTTAATATTTTAAAAGGATCTAACTCAAGTTTAATATTAATGTTGGAAATTTCCTCCATCATGCAGAGAAGAGGATCAACTTAAAATATCTGAATAACTGAATAACTGAATTCTAATGATGTTTGTATTATGGGCCTGAGGCCCCTTTACTGAATAAAAATGTCTGTCTGTCTGTCATGATGATGATGATGATCATTTGTATTCATCATCATTTCATCATAATATTCATCATCAATAGTAGTTGTCAAACCTGTGGAGTGACGACAGTAAAATATTGCTGACTCGACATAAAACAATAGTCCTACAATATAAGACAAGGTTCGCTCATCAAATATTTTACTCACTTTGAAGCGGGGCTTCATATGCCCGGGTCATTCATAGCTGAAGACTTTGACCATCCCATCACTCTGGACGACGATCAGCTTGTTGGAGGACGTCATGTTGATGGCCACTGGTCGAGACAGTCCACTTTCTCTGGCCAGGACAAATCTCTGGAAGTATCCCTCGCTGGTGATCAGCTGGATCCGACTGTTAGCGTAGTCGGCAATGAAAATGTTGCCGATCTTGTCAGCGCAGAGACCTTGGGGTTTCCTGAGGACGTGGGCGCCGTCGGGATGGTAGGCGTAGACAAGCTGACCCTCTGGGGATATGCACTTGACGGTGTTGCTGCTGACGTCGGTGACAACGTAGTTGCCTTCCCTTGTGAAACAGACGTATCGCGGGGTGACAAATATCGGTTTGCCGTCAGCATCTGCGTTGAAGGACTTCAGAATCTCCCCTTCAAGACTGATGAGATCCACGGAAGCATCTTTGAGACAGCTGACGAGCAAACTGTCTTCTGACTTGGACATTTTGATACTGTCGTACTGTTTTTCTGTCCTTACTCTCTTCTTCAGGGCCATTTGTCCCCCCGTGACGACAAAGAAAATCACTTTTTTGTTGATGGTAATGGCCACCTCCTCTCTCTCGCCACATCTCGTCAAATCTCGTGGTTCCTCGCTGATCTGGATCTGATCAATGAGATCGCCATTACCTGTAAACTTCTGAACTCGTTTGTTTCGGCAATCGGCCACGATTATCTCCCCCTTCGAGGTGCACGCGACTCCTCACGAGGACAGACCTTCGTCCGAATTGCAATCCTCGATTTGAACTTCACCCAGTTCCTCAAAATCTCTGTTGAACAGTTTCACAGGGTCTGTTACAGCAAAATTGACCCTGACCATCAGGTCTTCTGGTGGTTCGACGGTCGAGTCTCCCTCCTGCCCTATCTGCTGGATCGAGTCTTTGATAGTCTCGTAAACCTGCAAGATCTCTACGTCACTCCCGTACTTGAGCAGAGCCTGCATCCGTTCACTCGCGCACTTTAGGGTACCCATGTGGTCTTTCTTGGGACCCCTTTTGGACCCATTTAGTTGGCTGCGAAGCTTCTGTGCCGAGTCGTTTAGACGACTGAGAAGGTTGTTCTGGCTCTGCTCGATCCTTTTGATCAAATCTGCCGCAAGGGATTTAATCCTCTCCTCTGATCGCTTAATAGTCTCTTCCAAGACCTCCCCCGCGTCCCCCAAGGACTGACCACCCGGTGTCCCATCAGACTTCAACTGCAGGGCTTCTGCTTGAACGATAAGTTCACCAAGGTCCTCCTCCCGCTCAGACATAGCTTCCACCACTGTCACGCAGTTCTTACATGTTCTGTGAGACGTGGCAACACACTGGACACACGCCGGACCTCTACAGTCCACGCAGAACAGCTTGAGAACCTCCCCTTCGTGCTTCCCGCACAGAACACTACGTTTCCGCTTCATGACATTCTCCAGCGGAAGCGTACGCATCTCGTCAGCGGAAATGACGACATGGTCAGCAGTGGTCGCTCCGTGCAGGTGGACCTTGCCACATGCGTCACACATTGCATCATAACAGTCCATGCACCAGTTGACTGCAGGTGCCGTCACGTCCCTTCTATCACAGATATCACAGGATTTGTCGTCATTATACGCAGTCAACACCTCACTCAGCTTATTCACAAACGTATCGTCCCGGAAGCTATCGCCGTACCGCCCTCTCCTGCCGTCGGGGGGAAGCGGTGTTGCCTGTTTGCATTTCGGACATGGGAACGACTTGGATCCATTTCGTTCGAGCTCGCCGTTGATGTGGTCGTTCAGACACGTTTTGCAGAAAGAGTGCAGACAGGGCAAAGACTTAGGACGTCGCTGAGGACGGCCGCAAATTCCGCAGCTGCAGAGACCCTCTGAAAGAGCGTTGAGGATCTCCGCGTCCGCCATTGCTGCGGTCGTCTGCTCTTCTTTCAACTGTCGTCTGCTGTATTCTGTGTCGTCTGCTCCGTAAATTCTACATTTGATCAAACTTCATTGGAAGTCGGTCGATGTAGTCTCCCTTCGCCCTTTACTCTGTAACGTTTAGTGGTAATGTCGACTGCGCACCTCTATGTCGTCTGCTCGCGGTCATGTGACGATCTGGAAAACAAAGAGGGCATTGTATTGCACGCAAGCAGTATCGAACTATTGATATTCACCTGGTTGTCAATGGAATGTGGTGATTAGCACGCTCAGCAGAGGGGCTGTTGGGCTTAGAGATTATTATGTTTATCAGCTTAACGCCTATAAGTACAGGGCCCTGCTGATCAAACACACATTTATTCCATACGACCTTGACCCAAATTTCTACAATTAGCTGCGTGACGTGATTTCAATCATCTACAACTTGTTCAAGAGCCGATAAATTTCATAGTTTTTAAAATCTGATTAGACTCCAAGCTTTAAAATCTGAGTGCCTGTCTAACTCAAACCTTCGGGTTCACATACAGAACAATACGCGTTTCCCGGTTACCGTCAACTGACCACACAGGCGGCTCTCGCCATTTTTCCATCAGGTAAACCATTTATACAATCCCGAAAACTGAATACTAATATACAAATGTAGGGAATAAAACTGTTAACTGGAATACTTTATTCGGAATAAATATAGACGCTACTCCTGTACTTAAGCAATGTTTTTTTCATTTCTCCGTTTTTAATTTTAGATTTTGATTTTGATTGTTGGGAGAGATGATCATTGGTAAAATCACAAGGTGAGCGTCAGTATTTACCCCATTCATTGCGCAAACAGCGGATTCCATGTGGCCGGGACTCAGTGAATCATTCCAGTTGAAAGATAAAATAGAAGTTCCCCGAGCGCTTGAAAACTCAGCGTTCGTGTTTACGTTTCAGTTGTTCTTTAAATTTATGAAACATTAAAGGTCGTTACTGTTATTGTGTGTGCTTTTTTCCCTTTCGATACCATCCTGGTTCCCGGGTCTCTCATTAGTTTATATAGAGGGCCTCAATGTCAAATTTTTCTCATTTCACTTTTATTGTATAAATTGTTTTTCGTCGCGACATTAGATATTGCCGATGATCACCACTAACTCACTCACTCACATGGATGAAGATGGCCACATATAAACTAATGAGAGGCCCGGGAATCAGGATGTTTCGATACGTGCAATTCCCGAATTTTAAGCCCTGGGTTTAATTATAGTTTGAATACTTGATTACCAAAAGGGGCATTTTTCAATGTCGCGGCCAGGACTTAAATATGGAAATACCCGGTATATTTCTGCAGTCGATGTGTACTGAGTGAGTGAGTGAGTTGAGTTGTACGCCGCACTCAGCAATATTCCAGCTATATGGCGGCCTATGTGTATTGAGAGGCAGTGTACATGGAATACACTTCTTGAGGATTTTTTTAAATGGATGGCTGCATTTGTTTGTTTTCAATTCGTGCTGTTTGGCCTTGTAAAATATTTCACAAAACAAGTTCGCCATAGTTTTCCCAAACACTTATAAATATTCATAATGAATAATTGTCTAAGCGTACCTGGAAATTAGGATCGTGTAACCCAGCCCCCTGTCTGGATCCGCTCGTGAGTACTCTGGGCTTATCAGTGCTGGAGGTGAAATCTCTCTCCATGAAGGATGGAAATAATAGCAACAGTCACTGTACAGAGAATAAACAGTACGATCTTGTAGCGTCTTGTACAGTCACTGTACAGAGAATAAACAGTACGATCTTGTAGCGTCTTGTACAGTCACTGTACAGAGAATGAACAGTACGATCTTGTAGCGTCTTGTACAGTCACTGTACAGACAATAAACAGTACGATCTTGTAGCGTCTTGTACAGTCACTGTACAGAGAATAAACAGTACGATCTTGTAGCGTCTTGTACAGTCACTGAACAGAGAATAAACAGTACGATCTTGTAGCGTCTTGTACAGTCACTGTACAGAGAATAAACAGTACGATCTTGTAGCGTCTTGTACAGTCACTGTACAGACAATAAACAGTACGATCTTGTAGCGTCTTGTACAGTCACTGTACAGACAATAAACAGTACGATCTTGTAGCGTCTTGTACAGTCACTGTACAGACAATAAACAGTACGATCTTGTAGCGTCTTGTATTCTTTTGCGACCTGTTATAGAACCACCGACCTTTCTCTCTCAGGACACAGAGGCGGTCCTAGTGCCAGTAGTAGTAGTAGTAGTAGTAGCAGTAGTAGTAGTAGTAGTAGTAGTAGTAGTAGTAGTGGCGGTAGTAGTGGTAAATAGTAGTAGTATGTAGTAGTAGTAGTAGTAGTAGTAGTAGTAGTAGTACAGTGCAGTAGTGGCGGTGGCGGTTTAGTAAGTAGTAGTAGTAGTAGTAGTAGTGGCGGTAGTAAGTAAGTAGTAGTAGTAGTAGTAGTAGTAGTAGTAGTAGTTAATAATAGTAGGTATTAGTAGTAGTAGTAGTAGTAGTAGTAGTAGTAGTAGTAGTAGTAGTAGTAGTAGTGGTGGTAGTAGTGGTTAATAGTAGTAGTAGTAGTAGGTAGTAGTAGTAGAAGTAGTAGTAGTAGTAGTAGTAGTAGTAGGTAGTAGTAGTAGTAGAAGTAGTAGTAGAAGTAGTAGTAGTAGCGGTAGTAGTAGTAGTAGTAGTAGTAGTAGTAGTAGTAGTAGTAGTAGTAGTAGTAGTAGTAGTGGCGGTAGTAGTGATAAATAGTAGTAGTAGTAAGTAGTAGTAGTAGTAGTGGCAGTAGTAGTAGTAGTAACAGTAGTAGTCGTGGCGGTAGTAGTAGAAGTGGTAGTGGTGGGCAAGTACATTTGACAGTCACCTGCTTCTACCTCGCCTTATTAAACCACAGCAGTAATGATAAGGAAACAATTCATCGGCCTAAGTCGTTCATTCTTCAAACAAGAGCAAGCGGGCAAGTGTTAGCGATAGGTTCAAGATTATGGCTTACTTCAGCTGTTTCAAAGGTAACCGGATTCAAGCCAAATCTTTCCGACTGAGTTGGCCTAAATGAATCGGAAAGAACCCCGCTGCCATATTGCTTCTATCTAAAACAATGGAGGCGCACTATCAACGTCCAAGATAAAATTTCATTCTCGTGGCTGGTGATATATCCTAATTAAAGCGAGCTGTTTGTGTACGCCTTGGCTGCTATAGGATCAATGTCTCAGAGAAATAAACAGATCTCGTTCATGCAGGCAACTATGCAAGCATTCGTTTCGTGAGGACATCTTACACCGTTACTGTGAAATCTTACGTCTTTACCGTCCTGAAATCTGACGTCGGTACCGTGCTGAGATCTCACGTTACGGTGAGATCTTACGTTGTTACCGTGAGGAGATCATACGTGGTTACCGTGAGGAGATCTTACGTTGTTACCATGAGGAGATCATACGTTGTTACCGTGAGATCTTACGTTGTTACCGTGAGGAGATCATACGTTGTTACCGTGAGGAGATCTTACGTTGTTACCGTGAGGAGATCATACGTTGTTACCGTGAGGAGATCTTACGAAACCGTGAGATCTTAGGTCGTTACCATGTCATTGAGAAGATCTTACGTTTCTGTGTCATCTTATGTCATTACAGTGTGAAATCTTATGTCATTACAGTGAGGAAATCTTACATCGTTACCCAGAGATCTTACATAGTTACCGTGAGATGTTACATCGTTACCGTGAGGAGATGTTACATCGTTACCGTGAGATGATCTGACGTCGTCACCGTGAGATGTTACACATCCGTGTGATCTTACCGTTACGTAATTGTAGGACGATCTTACATCATTACAGTGAGGCGATCTGACCTTGTTACCGTGATGACATCTTGTTCTTCAGGCGGCGGGGTAGCCTAGTGGTTAAAGCAGTCGCTCGTCATTCCGAAGACCCGGGTTCTAATCCAAACACGGGTACAATGTGTAAGCCCATTTCTGGTTCCCCCGCCGTGATATTGCTGGAAGATTGCTGTGAGTGGCGTAAAACCATACTCACTCACTCACTCACTCAGTCTTGTTCTTGATGTGATATGGCACAATCAAAGAGAGGTGTCGGCAGAATCTATACGGAATTGGTTAGGCGGGTGCAGCCATGACATAACATTACCTAAGTTCTGTTGGAGCATGGGGCGGGAGGGACTATTATACAATCCAAAGACCAAAGTAACTGACCATTCCTCAGCGCGTTCAAGAGTCGACTACACAGAGAATAAGGTTAACATAGCTGGTTAACATAACCTAACTGACGTCTGACGGTGTAGAGTATAGACCGATATTGAGTGAGTGAGTTTAGTTTTGCGCCGCACTCAGCAATATTATAGACCGATAGATACAGATAAAGATGACTGCAGTGTTCAACAACATTCTCAGACAATCCGACAACACCTTGGTTGGAGGCACGATTGGCAAAGTCGTCTATGGGCCCACAATTCACTGCTGAGAGTTCGTAGGTTCGGCTCGCTAGTTCTGATTGCGATTCTACCACAAGCGTCACTGTGCTCCTCACAGGGCTCAAACTCAGTTTCATCACTGGAATTCTGTTCATTCTGCACACATCCCCCGTTTTTGTGGGTTTCATCAACCAAATATTATATATTAAGTCAAATGAGTTCGCTCGCCGTGACGTAAAACAGCATTCAACCACACACCAGCTAATCCTTCGAACGCCTACGAGCCAATCAGGAACAGTCCTTCAGTTCAAAGCTTACCACCGTGACAGACACCCACCCCGACCCAGGGACAAAATACACACACATGACCACCCCAGCACGAACGTTAGTTCTAACGGCATATTTATTGGTCTTACCTTTATGTGGAAACACATAAATATTTATGACGTTATAAGCCCACGGCACAGCCAGAATGTCTTAGGTCAGATAACACAGCACATAAACCTCTGGTTCCTACGACCCTTGGCTCAATAGCTGAATGTCCCTCTGTCAATGGGTCTCGCTCAAGATTACCTTGTAAAACACAAATTGCTCACTCAGCGATGACGGAATGACAACACGTTTGAGGTGTACAAGACTGGGGTCAGGACAGAGGTTAGCGTGAAGTAGGTTTATGGCTCTGATACAAAGTAGATATACTTGCTTGGTTGTGTTTGATATGAGGTGAAATTGAAATTGGGTTTTACGTCGTGCTTGAGAATATTTC